TTACGAGCTGCATTCCGATTCGCGCTGTGGCCCACGTCTAGCACTGCTCCAGACACTGTATCCTCGTGAGTGAGGTCAAGCTACGGTTCATTGCAGCAAGCTTAGAACCGCACAGTCTCGTCGTGCTCGCTACTGCAATTATGGTCGACCCCCCTGCCGCAGTTCGACAGGCAGTGGAGAACTTTGAAGCGCGCGGCCCGTTTAGGGTGGTCCGGCCGCGTCCTACTGAGACTTCCTTCATTTTCAAGTGGGGTGTGCGCGTCGAATATGTGGAGAATGGGAAGAATGTACTTGCCTGGGCGTGCTTAGCTGATGAGGGCTGTCGGACATCAGGGCGCAATTTGATCAAATTACATGGTGGGAAAACTACTATGGCGTCCAAACACCTGCAGCGGCTTCACAAAATAAGCTCCCCTAAAACGGAGTCGGCGCTTGCAACCAAGCGCAAGCGTGATGCCGACATCGAGCACTTGCAATCATCGGTGCTATACTCGAGAAATCCGACCCGGTTACACTTTCTTCTGCAGACTCTACAGATAATCAACAACAACTTGCCGTTTCGATTGGGTGAATATGAAGAGACGAGGCTTATGAACGCGCTGCTGATGAAGGACGAGATGAAAGCCACGATTAATGCAAAGAGAGTGGCGGAACTGATTGCTGAGCTGTATTCGTCGACGAGAAACGAAGTAATTAATTTTCTTGAGGAAAATAAAGAATCGTATCCAAATTTTACTCTGGTCGCGGATTTTTGGACGTGCAAGACGACAGGAGAGAAGTTCCTCGGGCTGAGAGTCTACCTCGTGGACAAACAGTGGCAGTTTAAATCTGTTCTATTGGGTACAAGGAAGTTCAACCCAGCATACGGAGATCGTGACGGCGGTATCATGAAACCATTTAAAGCCTGGCTGGAGCACATGTTCGAGGACTTTGGCTTGAAAGTACGCAACTTCTATGGCGCTACTAGTGACGCTGGAGGGGACGTCAAGTCTATGCTGTGTAAGGAGTTGAACTTGAACTGGGAGTGGTGCTTCGCTCACATGGCTCACGCGGCCACAAAAGCTTCGTGAGGTGTGAATGGCGCAGCAAGCGCCGCCGAGAATCCTGCAATGGCAGACTTTGTAGCAAAAATTGCGAGAACTATATTCCAAATTAAGCACGTCTCAACAATGGGAAATTTGTTTGAGGAGCTGTGTAAGTCTAAGGTGAAGGGGACCTCGACTCGACTCGTGGGATACTCAACGTCTCGGTTTTTGAGCCTGACTAACGTTTTGGAGAGCATACTTTTGAAATGGCCGGCCATCACTGCGTGGTATGAAGAGCGAGCTCGTCAAGCGCTTCGCGCAGGCTAAAGTCCACCGGAGTTTCCACTCGCGAACCGCCATGACGATTTAGAGCATGTCCTCTCAGTGCTGAAGCAAATTGGAGAGATAAAACGAATTTGTCAGGCTGAGCGCCCCGTGCAGGTTGAAGTGTTAGTGAAACTGTTTTTAGCTCGTATTGAAGATCTCAATCCTGATCATGCTCTACCACACTACAAGTCGACTGATGAAAACCCTCGGTGGATAGCTGCAAGTGACCTCACGCCTCTTGCAGCTAAGACACGACTTCTCCTGCGAGAAGCACTAGACCAACGTTTCTTCAGCAGATACTACAACGATACCAAGTTTGTAAAATGCGCGTTCATTATGGAGATGCAACTGAAGCTTCATCCCATCTACAAACACACTGAAAGGAGTCTGGATCGTGTGATAATTTCGTCTTGTCGACAGCATGGCAAATCCGGCAAAGAAGCTGTTGAGAGAAAAAACGCTGTTAATGCAAAAATACGAAGCAAGCTACTGGAGCTATTCACAGCGGTCATTGAGCCCGCAGACGTCGTTGAGATTCCTCTCGCCCCCCCGGTGACACGTGTCAGTAGGTTAGAAGCGGAGTTTGCGTCTAGACCAGCGAGGCGACCAGTTACAAACCATCGTGATCGACGCGCAGAAGAGGAACTAGACAGGTGGATGGAAGATCATGTTGATGTTGAACGTTCAAGTGACAGCACGCCTAGAGAAACAGTGCTCGAATTTTGGCAAAGACTTGAGCACCAAGGTGCTTATCGAATAATTCCAAAAGCCGTCAAAGTGCTGTACGCAATTCCATCTTCTTCGTGTGAGATTGAACGCGACTTTGGTGTTTCGGGAACATGGTAACTACGCAGCGCACGACTCTCGCTGATCACAGCATCGACATGTGCTCATTTTTGAATAGGAACCGCGATTTCGTTGACTTACTCTAATGTGAGGAAATTCCAAAGGGCCAACATCACTTACACACACCATCCAGCTTTGTATTTCCATTGGACTCGGACCTGGATTACGAGATGAACGACCTGACGAGTGATATTTTAGCCAACTTCGTTTCTAGCACAACACTAGGAGAAGAAGAAGAAACAGAAGAGAAATCTGCATTGTAAATATGAGCATCCGTAATTTGTTCGTTCTCCGTGTGTATACAACGTGTTAACGCATCTGTTTCAGCAACATGTATTGGTAGCATATAACCCCTCTTCATCTTTTTTTCTCTGCATCCTAGCTTTCGCACACCTTCCAGTATAGCCAAAACATCATTCTTCATAGCTACGGTGCGACTGATAGCGCTGTGCAGCCAGCTCCGCTCTCTCCTGGACTTGGAGCTGAATCTCGGATACAATAACCCTGAGGTCAAGTTCTCGTGTTCGTGACTGGCGCTGGGAGCGGCGTAATAGCCGTTGGGAATGTGTATCCGTTCTCTGCACTATCCCGGCATTTGGAGGCTGCGGTGGCTGCGACAGCAGAAGTTGTTGGTGCAAGGAGCGGCGAGAGAGCCGCTGGCCATGCGAATCTGATCCAATTCGCTGTAGCACCGCGACATTAGGGGGCGGCGGTGACTGCAAGAGACCCCCCTGCAACTGCGGTAGTTCTGCCAGCGGCGGTAAAGTTTCCTTAGTCTCCCTCTCAATCGTGCTTAAGCGATCTCTCTCCGGCGACGCCGTCGGTGCCTTTTCCTCCACAACGTCAGGTACATCGCTGCCTATGGTTGTAGGCAAATCCGCTGGTACAGACGACATGTTTTGCATGTACGATCTCCACCAGGCTTCTTGCATCCTCTTCTCAAGTTCGAAATCTTCGTCAGTAGCAGGTATATCATCATCTAATTCATCAGCCTTGCGGCCCAGGTTAGCTTCCGGAACCTTTGTCAGTTTG